CCAATGCACTGCAGACTGACTGCATCACCACACATTGCAAACTGACTGCTTGCTTCACCACACACTGCATACTGACTGCTTCACCACACACTGCAGACTGACTGCATCACCAACACACTGCAGACAGACTGCATCACCACACACTGCAGACTGACTGCATCACCACACATTGCAGACTGACTGCTTCACCACACACTGCAGACTGACTGCATCCCCACACACTGCAGACTGACTGCATCACCACACACTGCAGACTGACTGCATCACCACACACTGTAGACTGACTGCTTCACCACACACTGCAGACTGACTGCATCACCACACACTGCAGACTGACTGCATCACCCACACACACTGAAAACTGACTGCATCACCTGTGCACTACAGACTGACTGCATCACTCGCACTGTAGACTGATTGCATCACCCATGCACTGCAGACTGACTGCATCATCCACACACACTGCAGACTGATGGCATCACCCACACACACTGCAGACTGACTGCATCACCTGTGGACTGCAGGCTGACAGCATCACCCATGCGCGGCATACTGACTGCATCACCCGTACACTGCAGACTGACCGCATCACCCGTGCACTGCAGACTGACAGCATCACCCGTGCACTACAGACTGACAGCATCACCCGTGCACTACAGACTTACAGCATCACCTGTGGAGTGCAGGCTGACTGCATCACCCGTACACTGCACACTGGCTGCAGACTGACTGCATCCCCATACATACACTGCGGTCTGAGTGCATCATGGGTTGTGTACTCACTGTGCCATCCTGCATACTGTAACCTACATGAACTGCATACTCTGGAGTACACTGTACACATACACTGAGTGCAACACATTCACATACATCGACTGTACTGACTGTATTTCATTTTAAAGCCAGACTGTCTGGACACTGAGCAAGCACATTAATTCACAGGAATTCTTAAGCTTTCCTGCAAGGCTGTTACATGTACATGTAGATATGCTATCTCAGCAGAGGAACCACCCAGATTGACAGATCTGTATCAGCTGCTTCTACCTGACACATGTCTCCTTCAGATTGAGAAAAATAAAACACTTCACCACGCATGTATTTATTCAGTCAAATGTTTAATTTCAAAACCATCAATCACCTTGGTGAATAATTTGATGACAGCGATGTACACACTTCACAAGTATACATGTACATGTTTTCAACAATTGTTGACAGATAGAAAGTGATCTATTTCGACCTTAAATTCACTTTCCCATCCTAGCTGTATTGTTCAAAACTGCTTATATTATTTACCAAATTACCGAACTCATACAGCGGAATTTACAGAGAGGCTAGCATTACACTATTGCCCATTTGGTTTCTCAGGCATTATTTGCTAAAATATTACCCAGGAAGTGACCATATTGGAGGCTTGCTGGTGCGTATGTAAAGGGTCTATGATCTATAGCTCCAAAATATATGTATTATAATATTTATTTTGTATTTAAAGCTTATGAAAATACAGCAACTTTCTCTATGAATTATTCTGCATATTTGCCCAAGGCTCACCAACGATATTCTCAGTGGGTTCAGATTTTAAGGTCAACATTGTGCAGTACATCACACTGCTTATCAGGAATAATAATTCAGAAACATTGCAATTAGTTTGAGTGTTTTTTCCCAGAAGCTAAAAAAATATATACTTTTTAATTAACATTTATTAATTTGCTTGATAATATATGTCATAATGTGCATTATGAATATTTACAACCAGTTATTAATAATATGCTAATATGCATACATGTATTGAAAATAGATTTTACTGTGGAATATTTATATATTAAAAGCTCCAGCTTCAAATTAATATTGTTATAAGTGTATTATGTTCAATAACTAATATTTGTCAGTTTTCATTTACAAATTACTATTTTTATATATAATCCCAAGTTATTTTCTCTTACATGTAGGTTAAATATTATGTCGTCAGTGTTTTGTATTCAAGAATGTCCACAGGGACAGGCTTTCCTGAGAACCGCTGTGACTTCATTTCTTACTGACCCCAACGAAATGTTTCACTACCACAAAATGTTGCGTTTTTCCACTACCATGTACTCGCAAAATGTTGGCAAATTTGATCTCGCAAATTTGTTATCACAATTATTAGCATTTCATAGAAAAAATGTTGTGTTTTTCAATTCTGCAAAACTCAAAATGGAATTTGGATACATCTCTTTTCTCTGCAGCTCTTTTCTCAAACAAATCAAGTTATTTGAAATTAAATGAAAGCAGTGTAAAACAAAGAGTGGAATTAGTCACTGATGTTTTGCTCCATAGATACCAATTGATCATTTCTAAATGCCCTATGTAGTTACAACAATTAATATTTATGCCTATAGGGAATGATTTCCCATCAATCTTTAAAAATTGACAGTTCTAATCTAGTGAGTTTTGAAAATCTATATTTTGTATAATACCTTGTTAATTACTCATTACATTCTGCAGAAGACAATGTCATTAATGTGATCACAATTCCCAAATTTAATTTTTTACGATGATGATTTACGATTCTATGCCTTTGACCTTTTGCTGCCAAAGTCAAGTACATGTAAATGTACACCTTTTACATAATAATCCTGCTAAACTTGTTTGTATATATTTTTTTCCAAAATGGGAAATTACGTTTATTTAATGCCTAAATTAACAATAAAATTACATCTGGAATTTTTTAGTTTTTTGCTTTGTTCTATTTTTCTCATTTATAATCATTTTTATTCCTCTCGGAGGTTGTTATGCGATATTAGTTAAAGACAAAGTCATGTGCCTTAATGTTCCACCAAAATTTTGTTGGGAAAAATGATGGTGTTCAATTAGCAGTTTATAACACTGCTTTCCAACAACCTTACATGTACAAATGTACCTTCCTTGGATTATAATGTTACTTAGACTGCTCCTGAAAAAACTCGTAAAAAACTGTAATTTGGGATAGTTGTTGCAACTCCCCTGCACAGTGTAACTTGATTCACCATACATGTGCAACATATGTAAATTTGGTTGCTCAGGTTTCCTTCAAAGTTGAGTTTGTGCTGTGTCACCAGCGTTGAACATCAGCTCGCTCAGAGCCCATAAAAAAACATGGTATAGTGATGCACTTCTTGTACGTTCAGTGATATAGCTCCACCCCAAGAGTGTCTTATCGAGAGTACTCGATATATTAGATGATTATTCTTCATTGTAGCTTAAATTTACTATAATAAGTACATTTGTTTTGTTTCAGGATACTACTCCTATACTGAGCTTCCACTACGTTGTACCAACGACATGGGCATGGAATATAACCTCGCGCAAGACGCATACGTCAGCAAAGTTGGCGAAGACTTGTCTGAGACAATGGGCATTGGTTCCAAGGATGATGTTTTATTTGTAGTTTTTGCTAAAAGTAATAGAGACAGTACTGTACCGACCAATGAGTCTGCTTTGTGTTTCTATACTCTCAAGAAGATCATTAGGAAATTCACCAGCGGTATACAGCAGTGTTTCAATGGTGTTGGCACCCAGGGTCTCAGATTCATGTCCGACGATTTACCATGTTCCTACATAAATGTAAGTATTAAATGTTAAGCATTTCCTCACTATTAACATATTCAAAGGTTGATAAAAAGATAAGGGTTGGCACGCAACTGTTATAACCATGTATTGTAGTATGCAAAGAAGCTCAAACGATGCAAAATAATTCGTATACCTAATACACTATGTAATTTACATTTACGCACAATTCCCATGCAAGCGTTAATTGTTGTAACTTGCTCTGCCCAAAAGCATCTCAAGATACCATGGAAACTGTTGGTAACCATGAAAACCTTGATCGTGAAAACAAAAATTTATAAGTTTTCTGAATTGAAATGTGATTGTATTCTAGCCAGGCAAAAACATGTACTACATTGTCTGCGATTAGACAATGGCACATTCTTAGACTAAACTTATAAACATTTGTGCACAGACTGCCCACTTTAAATGCATTTACATGTATAAGTGGAAGGCACTCTTAGACAACCTCGGCCACAGCAGCAATATACTTATCTTTACTACCGGTAATACCTTTATTCTATTCTCTATTCTATATATATAAACACTTTTATCATATCGACATAAGCTTCCAATTCCTTTTTCAAAAGAAAAACCAAATTGAGTAAATGAATTAGATATGTACCCTACATTTGACAATGGTGAAGAATCCTTCGAAAATTGTCATCTCCATGGCATCCATCGCTTGGTTTATGTTAGCAGAAAAAGCTCTCAAAAATAAATTCACCATTAACTGTCCGGCAATGCATAATCATTGTAAACTGTCTTGTTTCCATGACAACACAATCCATCACCTGATTCGTCTTTGTTTCAACCCCTTCAAAGAATTTCATGAAAATTCATTCTCA